TCACGAAAATTCGCAAATTATTTTAAGCTAGAAATTCATAAAAAATTTTCTTTTTAAATCTAAGGTTTGAACATTTTTAATAATCTATAATATACCCTAGACAGATAAACCATCTCCGTTCAGAATCGTTTTTCGTATACAATGATACCTATCATTGCATTCAAATATAACCTACCCTAGTCAGAGGTCCACCCCACCCTCTAATGTACAGCTGAGYGATACCCACTTACCCGCTTTTTTTTCATTTCTTTTTCTCSCTTTTTTTGGAATATCGCCTTATAACGATATACTATATTATTATAGCACGTCGGCAACTATTAGTATAATATCCTAACCCGTGTGTTCGAAACTGGTTTTGATTTGAACAATAAAAATAAGTACCTGGATCTATTGTATCCATTGTAGGTGAACTAATTAAGATAAAGAGTATAAGACTAGAGAATATGTAGTATTCTAAAGCTATTAAATATGTTACCATATTACAGAATATAACTCTAATAGTGCTATAGTAGTAGCTGCATGTAAAATATAAGAATATAAAAATATAAATAATAGCTGGAAAACTGGTATTTTATATTTTCCAAACAAATTGACAAGAAAAATTATTTCTTGAATTGCAGTTTAGTACTCGGCAAATCATTGAGTTCCCATATTGTTTTTTTGGTTTTCTTTTGGTTTTGTTTTGAATTGTAATTCGTACTTCGGTTTCACTTCACTTGCTTGACACGGCAGTATCCGAGTATATTAAGGTGAATAATGGGAAAGCTAACATATAGTATATACACAAAAGTTCCCTCAAGTGTGGAAGACGGACAACTTATTTATGGACTGGCTGCAAGAAATTAAGGATGATTCTGAACAAGCTTACTGTAAGGTATGTTGTAGTATCCGTGCAAAAAAGGCTAGAATTCCTTCCCCAGGGAAAGGTTATTATGATATTATTCCATGGATCTGGGCTTGCGAATATCAATTATACGAGATATATATAATATATATATGAAATATATTTAGCACTCTATACCAGGTAGACAAACCATATGTATAAAATGTAACTAAACACACGATACAATTTTACTATTACCTATATTATAAACATATTTTTATATATTTATAATTTATATAAATATTGTATTCAAATTATAGGTACATGTAATATTTGAACTTTATTTTTGTTGCTTTAATTTTTACAATATATTCATAAATGATAGTTTTCTACTTTTTCTAGACTTTTAATGTTAATTTATTTATTTCGTTATACCTAGGTTAACCTTCCACTTTCTAACATGATCATGAATCATGATTAAAATCCAACGACCCGGCAGGGTCGCACTAAGTATAAAAAAAAAACGCCTTAAAATGAACGCATCGGCAATCACAACGCGCGACAACTGCCGGGTATAATTATTACAGGAAGCATCTGAAATCACGATAAAAAATAGTTGACAATGCATACCTAATTTCTTGTACAATCATTTAGTTTGACAATGCACCAATCTTATTGGAAATGTTCCGTAGAAGTGCATGCTGCACTTTTTAATCCGATCTGAACATTATAAATGGAGTTATAGCCAAATATATTATGGATTTTTATGGCAAAAAAATAAAATGTTATTCGATAATATTCCCTGCGGCCCGCATGAAGTTCCCCGCCCWCTGAGGAGATACACACACACACTTACCGTACCCGCGTGCTTTGTCACAGCGCTTGCGGTGGCGGTGTTTTCAGTTAATACGTAACGGCTCGCGTATATTATCATTTATCAATATTGTTCTTTCTTGCGTCGACCGTCGTCCTTCTTGCAC